GAATGGAAGTGAACTGTCCTCTTCTTCCTGGTTTTCAGAACAATCTTTTCACACAAGCCTTATGTAAGTTTGGCTTTCTCCCTTAGCTTTGAAGCAGCTTCTATCAATTTGCATAACAGCATCATAAGATGTCACATTAGATACTCAAGTAAATGAGTCCATGAACATGACCCCATGAATCTAGAGCTCCACCACTTGAGCTGATGGTCCCTCCCAGGGGCATGTGCAGCCAGGCTGCTGAAATCACACAACCACAGTCCATTTCCACCCTCCTCTAAACCTGTAGGACTGTACCTGCTCCGGAGTCAACAATAATGTTGGCCCTGTGGGAAGAGGCAGCAAGGAACGTTTGGCAGGACAAGCAGAAGATGGTGATGACTTTGCAGAAGGCTGAGGGGAAGTCTGTGGAAAGACAAAAGAGCAGAGCTTGGGTTGAACAAAAGAACTGAAGCAGACATCGTGCTGAGAGGGGATCATCTTTGTCAGACTGGACAACTGGGCAGTAGCTTTCTCACAATCAATGCTCCCAGGGAATTTGTTGAGCAAGGTCTATTGCCAAAATAAATGCAATAGCTATTTTGTAATGAAATGAGGCCTGGAATTCAGCTATCTTTGAAAAGGGTTTGCAGGTAAATTCCATCACAAGAAAGTGGAAAAGGCTAAAGAACAGGCTAGCAAGAAGCTCTTACGCCATCGAACAGCCAAGGGTCCTTCCCAAAGTGCTGCTGCAATTTTGCATTGAAGGATGGTTTAGGATGTGATCACACATGGAAGCAGTAGCAAGGCTGGGGGCTAAGTCTGGGTCTCTGCAGAAGGTGAACCACAAAAGTCTTCTGGATTGAAAAGCAGGAACACTCTGTCTGCAGAAAATGTCACTTGCATTGCATCTAAGCTGACTGCTCAAAAACTATCCAAATCCAAACCCCAGCCTGCACAAGGTTACATACTATAAATCCTTCACTTCCTAGAGACTGGGGCAAAAACTCTGTTCAGGCCTGTTGCTGCTGAGATCAACAGAAGCTTTGCCAGATTTTAACTGGCAAAGATACATGTGGCAGAAAAAAATCAGCTCTACTGTACTTGGTAAGAAAAAATATGACTGTCTATTGAAAGCATTCTTCATACAGCTTTTTCAAACAGCCTTCAAATATATAAGCTTTTGTGCATTTCACTAGTCAACCATCAACCCAAACTCAGGATAAATGTGAATTACTCCTGTCTGCACTGACTACAGACATCTCATTCTGTAATTGCAAGGGTCCAGCCCATGGTGGATGACTTCCACAGTGCCCAAACTGTTGTGAAACTCTTCTAATAGAAAAGAAAATCTGGAAAGAATGGCACTAAAACCTGTCTGTATTTTGAGCTGATGTCCAATGCTCAAACCACACTTATATTTAAAGTCCTAGATGCCACACAATGCTCCCTATGACATATGCTTAACATTTGTCGTGTACAGACTGTGCAAACAGCTGGAGAGATATATAGATAATAATATTTTCTTAAAGATTGCCACGTCTCTTGAATTTAAAGGTAGATGATGCTCATATTCTTATCAGTATGTGTTTTTGTAAAAATCTTACGAATTTTGGTTGAGGCTTTCAGAAGTTGACAAGTTTGGAACACTTGGCTCTCCTTTATTTTGCAGTAAACAGCATGCCCAAATCTCTCAAAGTCTCAAAACAGAGAAGCTTTGTTTTTGAGAACATATCCACTAATCCATGGTTGGAAATAAAATAAACTATTATATAGGTCAGGTTTCTTTGTTGTTATCTTAGCTGTTATAATTGAAACTGATTCCTGCTCACGTGCTTAAGTAGGTTGGTCATATTCTGCCCTGGAGCATTTAAATGAAAAAAGCCAAACCAAACACACCTTCTTTGTCTACAGAGCTCACACAATTAACACATCTTGTTCCTGAAGAATCCCTGTGTATCCTCACCTTAGGTCCACTGCTGGTGTCAGGGAATGGAAACTCCACTCCTTTCTTCAGCAACTCTAGGTAAACTTCTTTTACTTCACTCACATCCACCATCCCTTGAAAACCTCGGGTCCACGTCTAGTTTTGAAAAAACAGGAACAAAAGAGTCACAGATATGGTCAGTCAGTGGGTCAGGCAAATGCTTCCAAAACATGTGGTCCAAAAGATAAGTCATTCCCTTCACCCACTCTGGATAACTCCATTCAAAGCAGCAGGAACCACTACAGCTCCAAAGCTACGTCTCATCCTGCTTGCTGAGTGCAACCAGACTGGGAAGGGAAGGCTGATCCAGTTCTCTCCCCTTCTCCTCCAGTCTGTGCCCCTCCTGTGTGAACCAGAAGCAGCAAGAACAAGCTCTGCTTTAGAAATTTTCCATGGTATGTTACAGTACAGAATTGGGCTGAACCATGAAACGTTTACCATCTAGCAGAGACACTGTGAACACTTACAGTTTACTCTAGACTCACCATGATGAAGGTCAAGATTTTCTCTTGCATGTCAATGGGCAGATTGTATCTTGGGTTCAGTAGTTTCACCAGTTTGTCTTTGCAGAAATCTTTCTTCACAACTAGAGCCTGGAATCTTGGGCCACAGTTCTCTATACACATGTCAAGCAGCTGCACACACAAAAAGATTCTGTTACACAGAGACTAGGGAAAAAACTCACAATTTCACTGCTTTTGTTTCCTTTTGTTAAATTTGCTTCAAAGAGTTATGGGGAAGAGCAGGAGTGGGTGTGAACAGATTATTGCCAGCTATCTCACTAGAATGGTTGATGAGGTTACTACAGGGAAACAGCTGCTCACTATGTTCACTTGCACAGCACAAAGGAGATGTGTTAGCCCGAGTGAAACTATCTTTAACAGAGAAGCACGGTCACACTTGTTTCCATGTCACAGCAGTTACTGAACATAGAGTACCTCAACAGCATGAAATCTGCCCATAGCTTAACAAAATTACTTGTACAGATTCAGCAATAGAATGAATTCACTGCCTAGCACACAGGTAACCTGGTCTGACAGATTCTGAAGAGCTCTGCAAGAGAAGGAAATCAGATTACTAAATGCCTCTCTTCTAATCTGCCCTGTAAGGGAAAGACTAATGAAACAACAGGGAAGAACAAATTCAACAACTCCGAGCACAACTTCTCCACGCATTTCAAAGGTCACACTGATTTGAAACAGAAGAGCTGAAATGTTCCAATTGTCAGATTCATCTTTGGGAGGGAAGTCTACTTCCAAAACTCTGCTTGAAATGCTTAGAGTAGGATCCCTGCAAGCAGTGCAAGCCCTATCAAGCACAGCAGCATGTGGTGATGACACAATACCTCTCCCTGGTCAATCTGGAATTGGCCAATTACAATTCCCATTTTATGGAAGAGGTATCAAAACTGCCACTACCTCCAGTCACCTGAGATCAGGCTAATACAAGTCTTGGCAGGAAACTGGGGTCAGTCAGATCAGGTGCAGAATCAGGAACAGAACTCATCATCCCCACGGAGACAAAGACGGTCACTCCTGTCCTTCTTGCACTTCAACCATATCTTTACTTCCCCTCCCAGTTTAAGAGGGAAGATGGTAAGGTGAAAGCACAGGGTTGAAATGAACAGAAGGTTACAAAACTACATGGGGTTCGAGACAAAACTTCCCCTGAATCATACAGCAGAGAGGATATACTCTCAAAAGGATACACAGATGTTAAGGGACCCTATTGTAATCCTGATAAAAGTAGGTTAAATACACTTTCCTATTCTGAGCAGACTGTATTTGACTAAGTGAAATCACTTTCATAACTCCTTTTCTAGCCTCAGGACTTGGGGATTTTTCTCTCAGCATGACCAGGAACTTATGGAAGAACAGGTTTAAGACCAGAAGAAAATATATTGCTGAAATGAAAACAGGGTAGAACAAAGAGGCACTGGCAGACTGCTGTGCAAAAACTAACTGAAAGATAATTACAAAAGAAATCTTGGCTCAAAACATTATTTTTCATAGAGAGTACATGAAACATATGCTAATAAGCCAAGTCATTTGCCTGTGCTGTACTTCAAAGATGGTCTGTGTAAAATATTTTCAACCCAGTGCATGGGAAATTTGGTATGCTACTCCCTATTATTAATTCCCTACTTAAGGGACTGAGTATTTACCCACTGAATGAAAGTACTGAACTAATGGGCTGGATCCTCCACTCAATTATGCCAGTCCAGCCCACTCGCTCAGAGGGAAACCAAGCTGTTATAAGAAAAAGAAGAATTTGACTCAATTATTTTTAACTGGACCATTCATGAACAAGCCACTTTCATGCTATTAACACCTTTCATTAGAATGCAATAAGGGTATTTATCGTGCAAATAGGACATCACCATCCCAAGCAGTTCCACTGGAAGGAACAGATCCAAGGTGGCCAAATCAACCACTGCTCCACACAGCACAATGGCATCTCAACAGAAACACGTTTCAATGGTAAAACTGGCAAATTAATTTGAATTAAACCATTAAACTTCCTCTAAACGACAGTCAGAATCTGAGGACTGTTGGAACTGGCAGAGCTGCTATGTTCCAGGTGAGCTGACAGCAGACATCCAGCAGAGAGGAGATCTGCACTGAGCAAACACTGGGGCAAACTGCCTAATCCACCAGGGCAGGATCACAAAACTAAAATGACAAAAGGCATCTGTACAGAGGTGAAAACAAACTGTAAGGCAGAAACCAAAAATGAAGAAGTTGGTGAGTATAGCAGAAAATCAACCTCATTCCTTATCAACAGAGACCTCACTCTGAACTCAGTGGGACTCACTGCTCACCCAAAGCAGCCAGGTATGGTCTGTGAAGCTATAGGGAATGGGTGTAGCGTGTCATGGACACTTCTCAGAGCTAAGGTGAATGCAAGAAAACACAGATGAACAGTTTGCTGCTCCTCATTTCTGACTCAGGGGGAACAAGCCATTAATCCATTCCCAGGATTACACTCTACTAAGCACATACTGATGTCTCCCCAGTAGAGGTTCCGAACAGCAAGACACTATTTCCAGGGCAGCATTTAAAACAAACCTGTATGAGCAGCTCTGACAGCTGCCACTCAGCAATTACAGAGCAGTGGCTATGTACACTTTACCAAGATCCTGCATTTCAAAAATACTGAATTTTCATATTACAAACACTGAGATTTGGATTTGTTTTGCTACCACTCTATGTCCTTTTCTTTTCTTCTTTGCCCACATATACCATGAAGTGTAATAAAACTGACTGGGACTGTTTTGATTGAACAGCTGGAGGGCTCTCTCCTGTTTTTGCTTTTTAGATCCTCTGCTTTGCGCAATGTTAATATAAGAAAATAAAATCTGAAGGCCACGTTTGCCATGCTAAATTTTTTCCATCAGAACTGGGGCACTGCAGCAAATGCTTTACAAAACAAAGGGAGATCTATGGAGACACCTGAACAGGTGTCTCAGTGTTCACTATGTAAACAGAGTTTAAATGTCCAAAGTCAAGTCAAACAACACATACACAATTCATTGGATTCCTGGCTAAAAGGGCTAATCCTCTTCACTCTGATTGCACAATCACCACTGCCAAGCCTGATCTCTCAGTGTTATCAAAGGGCATGAAGCAACTTCATTGCCTGACACACATACACCTTGATCCATGTGACTTCACTGCCAACTTCAGCAGCTCAGGGTGCATGAAGCCAAGCCATAAGCAGCACATTTTACAGCTGTCACTCACCCTCCTTCCTCCAAGTAAACAAATCAGCATCTTTGAGCCAGGAGAAGGAAGACACTGCTGAGATGTAACACATCTCAACAACAGAACTGAGGCTTGCACATGCAGTTGTGCTACCTTGATGAAGACTTTCACACTTCACTCTGTGTATTCTCTGGGAATAAGCTCTTTAAGCAGTTTCATTAGAAAGTTTAAGTTCTAGGATTTCAAGGTTGAGTAGACAGAATTGGATAGAAGTACATTTCAAAAAAAATGTGATTTCCAGATCCTTCTTAGCTGTATCTTATGTAGGTAGGAGAGACAATCTGATGCAGTCTCATAAGCTGAAGGACCACATTTTCTGTAGGAAATCCAGGCACCAACTTACAGTTCATCAAAAAAAGAGCTCTTATCTTTGCAGCAATCTGGGAGGAAAGCAATTTATAAGAGAGTTGCACAGGGAGGGAAGGGCTTGTTTTTTAGGAACTGAAAATGATTTATGTTTTTCCAGTTGCCATGTTTTGCTGTTGTAATTTAAGCATTACAAAATGGGAAAGAGAAGCAATTTCATTAAGGTAATTAAGAAGATAAAAGCATAAGATACAGCACATAGGAAGAGTGATTTGGGAACAAAGATAAAAACCGCACATGGCCAGCAATGAGGTCATTAAAGGAAAGGCTTTACATATGCTAAACTGATGGCAGTACTGGGAGACAAAGAAAAAAAGGAAAGAAGTCAGAGGGAAAGGCAATAAGAATGGAAGATCTTACATAAGAACTACAGCAGAGAGAGAAAGAGTTGGAGGAAAAGTTGTTACTTATTTAAATAATAATAATAATAATAAAAGATTAAGTAACACAGGGAGAAGAAACCTGCAGACAGAAAACAGAAGCTGGGCTGAAATGCTGTATTTGCCTGGCAGGCAGAGATAGATACACGAGTACATGTGAGTGGGTGAGAACAGACAGGGAGAAAGGGGCTTGGCATGGTACAGAGACTGTGAGCAAGTGTTGAACTGCAATCACAACTGCACCTGGTACATGCTCCATCTGCAAGCAAACACAATGAGCTTCCAGGTCAACCTGATAAAGTTCTCCCTTGAATACACCTGAAACAAGATTCTTCTCCCACTTCTATGTTCTCAAAAGCTAATCCTTAATGTCACCTTGGGTGTATGTGCAGAGTAAACATCCAAGGAACTGCTCCTAAACCTAAGCACTGGGTTCTCATAACTCCAGCTGGCTGTGTCACAGCCAGAGCAGGACCTCAGTGTGCAAGGACTGTGAGAAAGAAAGCAGATCTGATAGAGGGATTGCACGTACAGTGGAAACCAAGTGTTTCTGTTGTGCAAACAGACAGAACACACAAAAACATGACTCATGAAGCAGTGGAGGAAGAAACCAGGAAAGAAGTGTGGAAATGGAATGAGCTGAAGGTATACACTGGCACCTTTAACACATTTATCTGCATCTCTAACTTGTCAGGAGACACTTGGGCAATTGCTAAGCGCCCTACAATTCCACACTGTCCATCATCTATCTTCCTTAATCACTTCTCAGCACATGTTGATACAGATAATGATTTTGCACAACAAATACCAAGCCCATGAGTAATAGTACTCAGTGTAATGCACACAGGCCTCTAAAACCTCAAAAACAGAAGTGGTGAAGGAAATACTTTTAGACAATTAATGAGAGACACAAATCCCCAACAACTTAAAGTTCAAATGACACGATTCTCACAGTTGCACTGCTGGTAGTCAAGAGTAATTCAAGTCAGAAACTCAGGACTTAGGACAGTGTTAGGAACTTCCTGCAGCTGCCTACATTATCAGTGTAGTGGGAAACAGAGAACTGCACTAACATACTCCAGTAAATATTGACTGAAGTCACAACACTTCCCCAACCCTGCAGCAGTTCAGAAACACTGCCAGATTCTGGAGGGCAGGTTGTGTAAAGTGAGGATATTCCCAGACACTCCAAGCTTTACTCGTAACACCTGAATTTCATATAGCTTCCCCTGCCTCCTGCTCCCTTGCTTAGCTGACCATCATCACCCTTTCATTCAAGTTTCTCATTTATACATGATAACATTCACCTTCACACAACAGGTATCACTCATTCCACCATGCTGCACACTGTGCTGAGTTTAACTAAGATTAGTAGAACAAGGTGAATAATAGAATGGTCAAATGTAGCTTTTATGCCACATCCCAACCTTTGTGTCTCTCACACACAGGTGGGGCACTCAGAGGGACAGGCACTGGAGTAAATAAGAACTATACTTGTACTTTTACATAGTACAAGTTTTAAAAACAAACAAAACTGCCAGAATTTGCATCATCCAGGACTCTATGGAATGCTGGCAGACCATCTGATCTGCACTGTGGCAGTGCTGTACACACAAACAACAAAGACTGAAAACATCCCAGGGAGTTGTGTCAGGGCTAATTTGCATGCCACCTTATCGTTTAGAATGTTTGTCTTCCCGGTGTCTAATTAATATAAACATAGCTGTACTTACAGACAGGGTAAGCCTGATCTCCTTATGGTTACAGTTTTTTGAAAGCTTTTTCTTGAGTGCTTTAACTGCATCTTTAGGCCTGTGATGAGAAATTAAGGAGAAAAAGTTAGCAGTGAAGTTAGACTGTTTTTCTAGTTCATAACTTCATCCAAGAACCAAAAGTACTGGCCTGACATATGGGACCAAACTCATCCCTGTATTTACACCCACATAAAACTAGAGCAATTGCCCCATTGATTTCAGCAAAATCACTTCAGCACTGAGCTAGGGCAACAAAGCAGTGAATCAGGTTGTTACTGCAGACTGTGCATTACTCCAGAGGCCTGTGCAGGGGAATAAGTTCTGCACAGTCTCCTCCAACATTATATTATTCCATTGCTGCACAATAGAACTACTTATCTAACTTTTATTGCCATGAAAGGGAGTATCAACTGCCAGCTGTATCAAGAGTCGCCCCTATTTTTCATGTATGATGCAATTAAGAAACATTCTGCTGGGAGTCCTGTCAGGAGCAGGGGTGTCATGGATAACTTCCAATCTTATAATTGCAGGATGCATTTAACTCCTTGGAGTAATTACCATGTATAGATGGCCAACCCATTCCAGCCCAGAGATAGGCCATTTCCAGCCCAGGCACTTTGGTTTCTATATATACACCTCCTATCTTTTAACTATCTGTGTAGGAGGAAGAGGGTGGAAGATGGTATCGACTTTATCACACATGGGAAGCAGTTTTGCCTGATTAATATGGACTATCTATAGTGTACAATTATTAGGGCCAGCCCAACAGTCATGATCAACATAAACAAGATGTCCTAATGTCTCTAAGATCTCTCTAGAATCTAAGATGGAGCAACAGGCACAAATACAATGCTTCAATAAGAAGAAAAAGCAATATGTTGAAAATATTTCAAAGCCAATGAAATTAAGTGGATGTTTACCATTACTGCATTTCTCAGGCTGAAATATACTTCATCAGAAAAATAAAGAAGAGTTTCCTGTTTTTCTTAATCCTAAATCATACCCAAGCACACCAGTAGACCATCAAGTAATGAATGGAAGCATAAGAGCAGAAAAAAAACCCTTTCCCTGGCAGAAAGCTGTACTACGACAATTCCACTCCTGCTTCTTGCTTCCCTCACTGAGGCATCTGGAAATGCTCTGGTCAGGAGCTGGATATTGCATTAAAATAACCATTTGCCTAATCGGATACAGCAGTTCTGTTGTTCCTAGCATCCTGTTACAGGCTGGGACTAGTAGTAGCTGCCTAGGAGGAAGTTACAAGGAGCTCCTCTGTAAGCATAAGCTGTGCACAAGATGAAACAGTTTATTAGAAAAAGCTCTGTTGCATGGAAACTTCACACAAAAAACTAACACTGGGAGTCAAACTGTGCTGTTGCTTATGGCAATAATCAGAAGGGAGTTACTGCTGACATTCCAAATGCTAAGAGCCATGGGTGAGAGCATGGGATCCAAAAAAATAAGAGGAAAGAAAAGCTGATACAAAAAAAAAAGATACCTGTGCAGAAACTAAGCCACACCTCACTGACCTGCAAAAAACTCTCCAGCTGGTGTTAAAATATGCCACTGCTAGCAATGATTTCTTGCAATGCAATGCCAAAGCAGATCTTACACGAGAACAAACTTCCTTTCTCGTCTTTTACAGGTGGGGACAAGGAAGCTCAAGGCAGCAAGTGGCTGAACAAAGCTGGACGTGGACATCCAGTGCAAGAGCCACGTCAGTCCTGGGAGCCCTGGATCCCACCGAGCTGGAACCCACCCATCACTTCACCCCTGCTGCGACACAGGCTGGGGGAGAAACCGCACAGTGCGGAGCTCAGAGTTAAAAGCCCACAGTTTTCAACAGTGTTGAAACCACTCCAGTGATCAAAGTCTTTTTCCACGTGCATTTTGCAGAGTACAAGGCTACCCAATCAGCGTGGCAAGCAGTACAGATTGTACAAAACACATCAGACTCAGGTGAGAAACCTTTGTTACCACCCAGAGCTTGTCTATGGGGAAGAACCTATGACCCTAATCCCTACAAGTCCTGCTGGCTCGAGGACAGGCAAAGCTTTTCCCTAGGAACCAAAGGTACCTGCTGCTATTTCGTTTTGGGTCACTTCACAAAAGCGTCCTACATCTCCTGCTCGATTTCACCCTGCCCTCGAGCAACACCGGAGCTACCACCGCGACCGACGCGCGCTCGGCCGAGCTCAGCTCAGTGCCAGCGATTCGGTCCCTCCGGAACCGACACCCCTTCGGTCCCTATCACCCCTTCGATCCCTATCACCCCTTCGGTCCCCAACATTCCTTCAGTCCCTATCACCCCTTCGATCCCCAACACCCCTTCGGTCCTGACACCCCTTCGGCCCCCAACATCCCTTCGGTCCCCAACCCCCCTTTGGTCCTGACACCCCTTCGGTCACCGACACCCCTTCAATCCCTATCACCCCTTCGGTCCCCAACATTCCTTCAGTCCCTATCACCCCTTCGATCCCCAACACCCCTTCGGTCCTGACACCCCTTCGGTCCCCAACATCCCTTCGGTCCCCAACACCCCTTTGGTCCTGACACCCCTTCGGTCACCGACACCCCTTCA